CACCAGTCATATTGCATTAGGACCCACCCTAATGACCTCATTTTTACTTAATTACCTCTGTAATGACCCTGTCTCCAAATAAGGTCTTCTGAGATATTGAGGGTTTGGACTCCCACGCAACTTTCTTTTCTTGGGAGTGCGGGGCACAATTCAGCCCCAAACAGGTAAATATAGCTTTCTAAACAAAATGGCTTTAAAAAATATGTAGGGGCACCTGGGTGGCTCAGTCGGTTAAGCCTCCGACTTTGGCCCAGGTCATGATCTCACGGTCTGTGAGTTCGAGGCCCGCATCAGGCTCTGCGCTGACAGCTCAGAGCCTGGAGCCTGCTTCGGATTCTGTGTCTCCCTCTCTCTCCCTCTCCCCCGCTCATGCTCTGTCTCTCAAAAATAAACATTAAAAAATTATTTAAAAAAAAAAACATAGCATCGACTTCTGCTACGGCCAAGATGCAGTAACAGGGAGCAGATTTTCTCTCTCTAAAACAACCATAAAAGGGGCAAAAACTTGGTTTTTAAGCCATTGGAGCTCAGGCCATGAAGGATGGTGATTCCTGGCACGTGGGAAGAGAATAAGGTAAGCCCTATGATTGCCCCAATTTACTGTCTTAGGAGAGTTTCCAGGTCATGGTCCAGGGCGACAAATCCTGGCAGAGCCCTGTAAACACCCTGAGTTAAAGAGATTGAGCTGGGGGCGCGTGGGGGGCTCAGTCGGTTAAGCATCCGACTCTTGGTTTCATCTCAGGTCGTGATCTCATGGTTCATGAGTTCGAGTCCCGTGTTGGGCTCTACACTGCTGGTGTGAAGCCTGCTTGGGATTCTCTCTCTCTGCCTCTCTCTCTCTCTCTCTCTCAACATAATTAAATAAGCTAGAGAGAGAGAGAGAGAGAGAGAGAGAGAGAGAGAAAGAGAGAGATGGAACTGAGTTTCCAGGAAGACCAATGTGGCCAGAGTTTATGGGAAAGAGCACTTGATAGGCCGCACAGAGAAAGAAGTTGGAAAACCCCCAGAGGGTCCCACTTGAGCACTTAGTGGAACAATGACCTGCGACGAGAGCAAGAACCACCAAAAGGATTAGAATGAGTGGTGCCCAGCACTCACACTGGGCAGAGACACATATTATCATAAATGCAGACTCCTCCAGCTTTGAAAGAAGAAAAAACACAACAGTGACTCCCAACTGCTCTCAGAAAATGTTCTTAGTATGGCCCACAAGAAACTGAATCCCTACATCTTCAGCCTCATCTCTTGGCCCTGCCTCTGTCTCAGTCAGCTATGCCACTAAACTGCTGTGTAACAAATAGCCCCCCATTCAGTGGCTTGCTCCTGGATTACTCCTATTGAAGCCCTGAACCACCATATAAGAATTTCTACTATTCTGTGTCCACCATGCTGTGAGAAGGCCAAGCTAGCCACAGGGGGTGTCTGGTCAGCCCCAAAAGACACCACATGGAGAAAAACCCAGGCCCCAGATGGATGGCCCCAAGTGACTCATCCCCAGCAACTGTTCGAGCCACCCCTGGTCCATTGTGGAGCAGAGATGAAGCCCTCCCTGCTGTGCCCTGCCTACTTTCTATACCACAAAATAATGAAATGAGCCTAATAAAATGTTCCTCATGATATACATCAGTAGAAAGGTTCTTTTGTATTTGAATAATTCCTGCTTGTTTCTACCCCCCCACCCCCGCAGAGGGGATTAAAAACAAATCTTTTTAGTGATTAAGAGAATATGCTGCAGACTTATGAGCTCTCAACATGGTTTATAAAGAATATGTGAGAGGTATTTTTTTAAATATTCAAATATAAAACTAAGCCAGAAAAAAAAAGCCCACCCTTCATGACTCAAAACCACAATCCTTTATTCTCAAGCTCACAGGTCAGTGGACTAGGTGGGAGACCCTGCTCCACGAGTCCCCCGCTTGAAAGGACCTGGGCATGTTCTTACTAGGGCAAGGCCAGAAGCTTCCAGAAGGATAAGGGAAAACACAAAATGCCTCTTGAAGTCTACATATAAAATGAAAATTTCAAGCGTGAAGAAAGAGTGTGTGATGGTGTAATAGCAGCCTTGGCGGGGGGGGGGGGGGGTCCATGAAATAATGTAGTGTCTCACAATCAATGGCATGTCAATTTTGGTGAAATCCACTAGTGTTCCCACCCTACGTTCACCCATTTCTTTGCATTCCCAGGTCAGTAAGTTCTGAATGCTAACAGAGTTCCTACATAAGAAGCACTTCACAATCCTGGCTGGCCAGTGCGTGGCTGTACGCGCTCGCGGTTATCATCACTTGCACAGTCGGTAGGTTGTCGACTTCTTTGCTTTGTAGGGGAATTAGATCAAACTCCCGAGAGAAAGAATAGCTTTCCATGACTTCGTGGTGAGCTGTGGGTGGTCAGCGCCAGCTTCCGCCCTCGCTATGCTGTTCGGCCTGCGTTAAGTGACTTAACCTCTCTGAACCTCAGCTGGTTTTGTTCCCCTAAGCCTGCGGACTGTGCCCCTCCCCTGAGGCGGAGTCCCGCCCCCATATCTCTGGCTCCGCCCCCCACCTTGAGTCCCGGCCCCGTCGGGCGGGGGTCGGTCTGAGCACCGACCCCGCAGGCGTCCCCGGGACTGGTTCTTCCAGGACGCCGGCGCAGCGGCGCGGTGCCTTCTGGGAGTTGTAGTTCGCGGGAAGCGGCGCGCGGGATGTAGCTGTGCCGGTGCGCAAGCGCAGTCCGCTCGGGCCTGGCGCTCTGGCCCACCCGCGGAGGTCGCCGTGGTCACCTGTGAGGCCTGCTTGTCCGCTCCACCGTGGGACCTGGGGTTACTGGGGTCCGCCTCGGCCGGGTAGGGCCGGAGACTGAGGAGAACCTGACCCGAACCCACCGAGCTCGCGGGGAGCCTCCGAGGCCTTCGAAGGCGGTGCCGGGAGTCGAGGACACTGGTGCGTGGTTTGCGCGAGCGCGAGTGGGTGTGCGCGCGGGTGTCCGTGTCGCTCTGTCGCTGTGTGTTCGTGACTCCAGCGCTGTGTGTATGCGAATCCCGCCCCGCCTGTGCACTTGCTTTTGCATGTGTGTCACTACTGAACTTTGTGCCAATGCAGGTGTGTGGCCTTGTGCGTGTCCCTGTGCACGTGAGTCCCGCCCCGCATGTCCCTGCGTTTGCCCGTGCGCGACTCCACAACTTTGTGCGCATGCAGCTGTGCGTGACTCTCCGTGTGAGTCCGTCCCCTCATGCAACGTATTTGTACCCGTGTGCCTAGGCAGGTGTGAGCCGTGCGTGTGAGTCCGGCCCTTGTGTGTTTGCATGTGGGTGACTACATCAGTTTGTGCCCTTGTGAGTATGTAACTGTGCGTGTGACTCTGCATGTGAGTACGTCCCCCATGTCACCGTGTGTCTGCACGTGACTGAGCCTGCCGGCTGTGCCTGTACAGGGGCCGCAGCACGCATAATTGACTGTGTGTCTGCATTTGGAGACCTGTGCCCATGGGTAACTTTAGGCACATGTGGAATGTGTTCTCCTAGGTGCGAAGTGTGTGATTCTACGTGTGTCTCGGTGTGCAGCTGAATGCAGCGTTTCGATGGGTGTGTCTGCCATCCCGGAGCTGGCCATTCTGTGTGCCTGAACATGACTGTGCGTGTGGAGGTCTATGCAGGCGTCACCGGATGTGTTTAGGAGACACTGGGCAACCTTGGGGTCACTGCGTTTCTGCATGTGGGGGAGACCCAGCACACATGACTTTGGGCACGTGTGATGCTCTGCCCACTTATGACATACACTTATGACTGTGCATGTGTCTGTGGTGACACACGCCTTGGCCCCAGAATCTTCCTTCATGGTTCCCATTTCTTTCTCTCACAGATGTGGTCTGGACCCACTGATGCATGGTGGCCAGAGCAGGGGCCACAACTTGAGTGACACACACAGGATCTGATTCTCTGAAAACCACAAGGTGGGTACCACGGCCCTGTGTGGAGGCCTGTCTGGGCCTGACAGCCGCCTGTGGAGACGGTTCCGGAACTGGGCCAGGCCTAGCCCGGCTCCCACCAGCCATGTTCTCACCGCTGCATACAGACCCTGCTTCATGTGACCCTCACCACTGCCATCCGTAATCCCACCTGCCGGCTGCTTCAGTTGTTCTCCACCCCTCCCCCACTGCCCTGCCCCTCTGCTTTTCCTCTGTCGCCCCAGCCATGGTCCTGCTCGGGACCCTCGCCCCTGCTGCTCTCACAGCCCAGATCACTCACTCCTTCATTTCTGGATCTAGTCTCTCTTCTCCACGAGGCCTCGCCTCAGGGGATGAAGGTTCCAGGCAAATGGAACAATTAGTCAGACTCAGCTCCTGAGTGAGGAGCATGCCTGGAATGTTTGAGGAGCAGCAGGGAGGCCTATATTGGAGAGTATGAACCCGGGGCAGGCAAGGGTGTCGGAGAGGATAAGCCCCGTAGCCAGGTGGCCCAGGCGTGGGCTCTAGCTTTGCCAGTTCTGGGAGCTTTACTGAGGAGCAGGTGAGCTAGTTCGTGGCAAGAGCTTAAAGAAGGCTTGGGGCGCCTGGGTGGCTCAGTCGGTTGGGCGGCCGACTTCGGCTCAGGTCACAATCTCACGGTCCGTGAGTTCGAGCCCCGTGTCGGGCTCTGGGCTGATGGCTCAGAGCCTGGAGCCTGCTTCCGATTCTGTGTCTCCCTCTCTCTCTGGAGCCTGCTTCCAATTCTGTGTCTCCCTCTCTCTCTCTCCCCTCCCCCGTTCATGCTCTGTCTCTCTCTGTCTCAAAAATAAATAAACGTTAAAAAAATTTTTTTTTTAAAGAAGAAGGCTGGGCATACGGCTCTGTGCTCAGCGGAGGCTGGTTGTTACCGCTGTAACAGTACTCCCGAGTCGGTGTCAGAGGGGCCAAGACCAGCACCTCTCAGACGGTCCCATGCCCACAAATCACGTGGGGCTCCCATAAAAAGCAGATTTTGAGTCACTAGGCCTGCAGAGGGGCCTAAGCTCTGAGTCTGTCACCGGCAGTGCCGCTGGGCCCCAGGGCCAGGGTGTAGCAATGAACCTTTGCCATGTGTTCATAATCCCTAAAACGTAGATGGCTGTGTTTGCCTGTTTTTCAGCCTAAATAACATCCTACCTGATACAGCCTTTGCATCTTAACTGTTTGCCAACACTGCATTTGAGGTTCTGAGCCGTTGGGCAGCTGGCGGCCACTCATGTTTATGCCGTGCGATACTCCGCTGTATGAATATACCCCTGTTCGTTCCCTTGTTAATGGACAGTTGGACTGTTTTCTAGCATTTGGCTGTTACACACAATCTTGGACGGGCTTCCTGGTACACGTGTGCACGTTTCTCTTGCTTACGTTCCAGAAAATGTAATTACTGGGGGACTGGAGATATGTGTCTCCAGCTTTCCTAGAAAATGCCAGTGGTTTTTCCAGTGCACGCTCCTACCGGCAGTATATTATGCATAGAGCTTGGGAGCTAGCTGTTCCTTTGTGTACGATTTTTCTCCAGAAAAGAAAAAACCCTCAGCTCAGAGACCCATGACAAAGTACTGCAGACTGGGTGTGTTCAACAGAAATTCATTTCCTCATAGTTCTGGAGGCTGGGAGTCTAGGATTAGGGCATCAGCCTGGCCTGGGTTCTGGTGAGAACCGTCTTCCTGGCTTGCAAATAATCTCCTCCTCACTCTGTCCCCACATGGTGGAGAGAGGGAGCTCTGGTCTCTTCCTCTTATGAGGACACCAATCCCATGGTGGAGGCGGGCATTTAACCTCATTATCTCCCAAAGGCCCAACCTCCAGACATTATCACGTTAGGACTCTGATCTATGAATTTGGAGGGGACATGATTTGGTCCAGAGCACCAAGTTGCAAGGCTATATTTAAGAGCTGTCAGGTTCATGTTTTTGCAAAGATCTTTTAAAATTGTTTGCAGGGGCGCCTGGGTGGCTCAGGGGGTTAAGCCTCGGACTCTTGATTTCAGTTCAGGTCATGATCTCACAGTTCGTGAGTTCAAGCCCCATGTCAGGCTCTGTGCTGACCATTTGGAGCCTGTTTGGGATTCTCTCTTTCTCTCTCTGCCCCTCCTGCTTGCGCTCTCTCTCAAAATAAATAAACTTAAAAAAAAATTTTTTTTAATTACTTTCAGTTAAGTCTGTGATCTTCAGTCAGGGGACACTTGGAAATGTCCATAGACATTTCTGGTGGTCACAACTTGGGGCAGTGCTACTGGCATCCAGTGGGTAGAGGCCAGGGATGCTGCTAAGTACCCTCCAGTGCATAGGACAGCCCCCCCCCCCAAACCATCAGCAGTGTGGAGGCTGAGACCCTGCACTAAGCCTTGTCCAACCCAAGTTGGTTTTTCTCCTCTTTTCCCTCAGATCCAGGGACAAAGGTGTGAAAACAAGGCAGTGACTCAGAAAGCAGAGATGGAAGGACTGTCGAGCGTGGCCACCCCCCAGGGCCCCGAGGTGGGGGAATCCCGGGAACAAGAGGGTCGGTTCAAGGACCAGCAGGAGAACCAGAAAAGCTGTTTGAAGCAAGAGGCCGCGGCCCCCGGGGAAGAGCCCGCCAGGGACGGTGTGCAGGAGCGGGGCGAGCTCGGCGGGGTGCCGGGAACCGGCCGGAGTCCTCCCCTGCCCCAAGCCGGCGGCCGGCCACGGAGGCGCGGCGCGCCCAGGAAGAACCCGAAGCGGAAGAGGGCGGGCTCCGGCGAGGAGGAGCGAGGAGGGGGCGGCCCCCGGAAGCCGTGGACGTGCGGGGACTGCGGCAAGGCCTTCAGCTACTGCTCGGCCTTCACCCTGCACCAGAGAACCCACACCGGCGAGAGGCCGTTCGCGTGCGCCGACTGCGGCAAGGCCTTCAGCCAGAGCGTCCACCTGACGCTCCACCGGCGCACGCACACGGGCGAGCGGCCGTACGCCTGCCCCGAGTGCGGCAAGGCCTTCAGCCAGGGCTCCTACCTGGCGTCGCACTGGCGCACGCACACGGGCGAGCGGCCGCACCGCTGCGCCGACTGCGGCAAGGCCTTCGCGCGCCCCACGCACCTGGCGCAGCACCGGCGCGTGCACACGGGCGAGCGGCCGTACGCGTGCGGCCAGTGCGCCAAGGCCTTCCGCAACCGCTCGTCCCTGCTGGAGCACCAGCGCGTGCACACGGGCGAGAAGCCGTACGCGTGCGCGCGCTGCCAGAAGGCCTTCCGCTTCTCCTCGGCGCTCATCCGCCACCGGCGCACGCACACGGCCGAGCGGCCGTACGCCTGCGGCCAGTGCGCCAAGGCCTTCACGCAGCTAGCGCACCTGGCGCAGCACCGGCGCGTGCACACGGGCGAGAAGCCGTACGCGTGCCCCGAATGCGGCGCGCCCTTCAGCCAGAGCGCCTCGCTGGCCGAGCACCGGCGCATCCACACGGGCGAGAAGCCGTACGCGTGCGCGCAGTGCGGCAAGGCCTTCACGCAGGTGTCGCACCTGGCGCAGCACCGCCGCGTGCACACGGGTGAGCGGCCGTACGCGTGCGCCGACTGCGGCCGCGCCTTCAGCAACCGCTCACACCTGGCACAGCACCGCCTCGTGCATACGGGCGCGCGGCCCTACCGGTGCCCGGAGTGCGGGGCGGCCTTCGGGCACGTGTCGTCCCTCATCGAGCACCAGAAGATCCACACGGGCGAGAAGCCCTACCGCTGCGGGGACTGCGGCAAGGCTTTCAGCCAGGGCTCGTCGCTGACGCTGCACCGGCGCACGCACACGGGCGAGCGGCCCTACGCGTGCCCCGAGTGCGGCAAGGCCTTCAGCAACCGCTCCTACCTGATCCAGCACCACATCGTGCACACGGGCGAGAAGCCCTACGAGTGCGGCGGCTGCGGCAAGGCCTTCAGCTTCTCCTCCGCGCTCATTCGGCACCAGCGGACGCACGCCGACGGGAGGCCCTGTCCGCGCGCCCGCTGCGGCCACCCCGCCACCCCGCTGCCGCACCCGACGGGGCCCCCGGGCTCCCCCCGGGAGGAGGAGCCAGGCGGCGGCAGCGACCCCACACAGAGTGCCACAGACCGGCAGAAGGACGAGCTGATGCCTAACGGGGACCTCTGACCCGGCACCGCGCCCGGCACTGTTCCACCCCCGCTTCCGACCGCTCGGCACCAAGGGGAGGCACCTTCTCCTCCCCGACTCGTCCGTGAGAAAACCGAGGCTCAGGGAGGCCCGGGGACTTGCCCAAGGTCACACAGGGAGGAGGTCACAGGGCCGGGACTGGACTCCGCATCTGCCGGCCTGCCCCTCCCCACAACACACACATTCTGCCTCCTGGTTCGGAACTATAAATGCGACCCACGAAAGTAGACCCAAAGAAGTGTCTGTGCGTCTCTAGCTAGCCTTTGAATGGTCGAAGATTTGATGATCACGTAGGCATTTGTTCAATAAATTTAATCAGATAAAAGGTTCGGCTCCTTTCAAGTTGGCGTATTGACTAAGGAAGCGGGGTCTGAAGAAGTGTGGATCCCTAGGACTGAAACAGTGGTTCCAAAATTAGAACGAGCCAGAGACATCCAGAGAAGGAAAAGCTCTAGAAGAGACTTGCCTCTCCCCTGACCTGCAAAGGGTGAGTTTCAGAGTGCACCCCAGCCTTTTTTAGGATGAGGAAACACTTTCCCCTGCTCCAGCCTTGTGCCCCCCACCCACCCACAATCAAAATCCTGACTTTAATGGTTGTGTCCGTTAGCTGTTGCTGTGTAACGAAGCATCCAGACCTCATTTGTCCATCTAATATATTTCCCATGGTGGGGGTTTCTGTTGGCCTGGACTAGGCCCAGTTGATCTTGGCTAGATTCAGAGGCGCATCTGTGGTCAGCTGAGGGTTGGATGGGGGTGGCTGTTCAGGACGGCTCAGCTGGGCCATCTCTGCTGCCTTCCTCAAGACTCTAAGGGTGTGCACTCAGGACAGTAGCAGGGATTTGGAGAGAGTGGGCACACAAGCACAGTTTCAAGCCCCTGATTATGTCAAGTTTGCGTGTAGACCCACTAGCCAAAGCAAGAGTTACAGCCAAGCCCATGGGTAGTGTACGAAGGGCCTTTTCAACCATGTGGTTAGAAGTGTGAAATGTGAGAATGATTAACGCAGTCACCTATCACCGTGAAATAAGTTCTAGTCCTACAGCATGGTCTTTACGAAATTTTGTTATGGACAACATTTGTTTGGTCCACAGTTAACAAAGTGAAAAAAAATCTTAGCCCTGTCCTCCTCCATCCCCCCTACCCACCAAGTTCCCCTCCCTAGAGGCAACCATTCTTGAGTTTCTTGGTATCTTTCCAACATAATCTATGCATATATAGCAAATAATATGGGTATTTGCTTATATGTATAAACGTGCTATAAAGACGTACAGTATACCTTTCTACACAGATAGTAGCATACAACCCACAGCTTCTGTCCTTTTATTTATTTTATATTTGGAAGCACCGGATGTTATCATTTCACAAAGTTTGGGTGTAAGATTTCTTAGGTAGAGAATCACGTATGTTTGTTTTGATCTCACTGATTTGTTCAGGTCCAGGAAAAAAAAAATGACAAAAATATTTTTCAGTTACGAATGCCTTTTTTACAAGGTTGACCAACAAACGGTCCTGTGTCATGGAACAACATAACTGAACATAACATATCATAACAACAACATAACCCCCCTCTGCATAAAAAGGAACCCCCTACATAAAGAATTTTTATGAGATTTTTTTCAATTATACAAAATGTACAATATATCCCCACATGCCCATCCATTTTGACTGCCTTAAAAAACAAAAAGAATTTTGGGGTGCCTGGGTGGCTCAGTCGGTTAAATGTCCAACTCTTGATTTTGGCTCAGGGCATGATCTCACAGTTCATGAGTTCGAGCCCCACATAGGGCTCTGTGATGACCGTGCAGAGCCTGCTTGGGATTCTCTCCCTCTGTTTCCCTTTCTGCTCCTCCCTCTCTCTCAAAACCAGAAAAGAAAAGAAACAATTTTAATAGAATAGGAATGCAATACTTAAAAGTGCTTTCATAACAAAATTTACCATATTTTATGATATATATTTGTTTTTAAAATAGTTCATGAAAATGCCTATTTTTTTTTCCTGGTCTATTTTAAAGTAAATTACCGACAGGATCTCACTGCTAAATACCTTAGGCTGCATCTCTTAACAACAACAAAAGTACCTTCTATACAACCACAGTATCATTCACACCCAGTGAAACATTAATTTCTTGATATCATCCAGTGTCCAGTCCATATTCAGATTTCCTTGGGCCCTGAAAAAGTGATGTAAATTATCAGAAAATAACGCCAAGCCCTGAAAATACCTCAAACCTAAATGATTTTTAATGTGTATAACTAAGGAGGAGAGAAATTAAAACAGCCACACAGACGTGTAAAGAGACATCTGTCTCCCTGCCCACCAGCTTCCTCAGCTCTTAGTCCTAGCAAGGAAGCTGGTGAGGGGCCTCGGAGGAGATGCGTGCCTTTCCTTTTGCCCTGGCGTTACCTGCACAGGCCTTGGCATGCAGTAGGTCCTCAGGGAATCTCATGTGAATAAATAAATGAGTGACAAATCCCTGACCTGCCCTGCAGGGTCAAGACTTACGGTGTCTGTGCTTCCTCTGTGCTGCAGACATCACTCAGGCCCCCGCATAGAGTAGGTACTCATAAAGGACTGGGTGAGTAGTTGTGCATCCCAGCATCAGCCCTGGCATCATTCAGGGTCAGAGGCCACACATTCAGTGCCCCCCTGTCTCCCAGGCATTAGCCAGCTCAAGCACCAGCACACAGTGGGTCTTCGGGAGATCTAAATTAATAGGTCAGGTAAATTAATAAATAAGTAAACATCCTCAGCACCAGTCCTGGATCAGAGAACATGCATACTGGTTCCTTCCTGTGACCCCAACTTTGCCTAGCCCAAGCCTTAGCACACAGTAGGTCCTTAAGAAGCTCCAGATAGCTGAATAGTTATATATCGCAGCATCAAGCCAGGAGTTATTCACGGTCAGGAGGGACGACACAGTCGGTTCATGGCTATGCCCCAGACATCTCCTACCTCAGGCCTCAGCGCACAGTAGGTCCTCAGCAAATACTGAGTGACTGAATTAATGGTTGACCATGTCCAGCTGCAACCCTAGAGCCATTCAGGGTCTTGCATGGACTGCACGGTCTGGCTCCTCCTTCTGACCTTCGCCCAGCCCAGGCGCTAGGCACACAGTAGGCCCTCAGGCAGTGCTGCCTGAAGGGATGAATGTGAAATGGGAGCCCAGTTTACAGACATAAGCCTGAGTTCAGTCACCCCAAAGACCGAGGGAAACTGGTCCTCCGCAACGCCAAGGCTGCGGATGCCCCGGCTCTGCGGGGGGAGAGGGGGGAGGGTGCGGGCGAGGTGTGGGCGGGGTCGGCGTCCCGCCTTGGAGCCCTTCCGCCAAGACTTCAACGAGAGCCGGCTAGGTGCAGTGCGCAGGCGCCGGGCGTAACGCCGCGAGCTAGCCCCGCCCGCGGGCGGTTGGCGGGCTGTGCTGCGGGGCCGACGCAGGAGGGTGGACGCGGGAGCGACGAGAGTCGCAGCCGGGAGGACGGGAGCGTCCGCGGTCCCTCCTGTTGCAGTGAGAGTGGCGCGCGCGAGCGGTGCCCTGAGTCCACAGCCGTGGAGGAGCTGAGCCCCGGGAGGGGGAGCTGCCGAAAATACCTGTTCAGAGCTTTCGGAATTACTGGTAAGGAAGAGGGAAAGGAGTTGGCATTCGGGAACACGGCAGCGCAGTCCGCCAGCCAGCCAGCCCCAAGCCGCCGCTCCCACGGCTCCCGCAAGCCACGGGCGTGCCAGTGTTTGCCTTAGCGGTTTAGCTTTGCCATAGTTGCCAACTTACCCGACATCCTCCGTCCCCCACTGTGTTCCGCAGATACTGTATGCAGATGCTACCCTGGGGCCAGCGTGTCCTGTTCCAGGGGAGAACCCAGCAGCTTCAAGCGCATGGGGGAGGGGGTCGGAAGGGGCCGGGGTCCCACAGGCTGGCGTGCAGGGAATTCCTGAGAAATGCAGGCTGAACTCTGCAGCCCCCCTCCCCCACTCAACCTTCCCAGGACTCAGTTCCTCCAGGGAGACCGGGCAGAGGAGGTGGACAGAGCAGAACCTCCATTAACCATCAATTAACCATCAATTAACCTGTACTTGTCAGGTGGTGATACAGGCGCTGAAGACCAGGAGAATCACCTGCGGAGGTAAGTGTTGTTTGGGGACGGTGGGGGAAGATGTGGGAGCCGAGCACTGCGGGTGAGGGAGCCACGTGAGCGTCTGGGGGAAGAGCATTACAGGCAGAGGTCCATTCCACAGTCCGGGCCAAGGTCCCGAGGCAGGCACGTGGCAGGCACGTGATGGGCTTGTTCAAACAGCAAAGGCCGCGCGCATGGAACGGAGGGTGCGAGCGCCAGCCCTTACTGCAGGGATGGACGGCCACCGTGAGGACGTTGGCTTTTACCTGCTGAAGTGGGTGGATTGTGAATGGTCTTAATTATGGTGTCACGGGATGTATCTGGCTGTCGAATGGAGAAGAGACCATCAGGGGTGCGAGTCGATATTTCTGTCATCAATGAAATGTGGTTCCTGGCACGTGATAGAACCCAAATGAAGGGCCATTGCTTTTGTGGTTTATATTATCATGACTGTTTGCAATTTCCCACAAATTTAAGGCACGTGGGACGGTCTGAGCGAATCTCAACCCACAGCAGCCCCCCCCCCCCCCCCGTTCGGGACATCTGGCACGGTCCCCACAGGCATCTCCGGTTTCTACCTTTGTCCTGCTGCAGTCCATTATGCTCTGCCCACTCCTAGGACAGCCAGTTCCTGCCTCCAGCTGCCGTTCTCCCTTATTTCAAGATTCCAGTTCCTGGGGCAGGGAAGGGCTGGGAGGTGAGGGTGTGAGGAGAATCTATCTCGTGTCCCCCACTTTGCCACGTAGAACAGGGTGGTGGTGGTAGCCATCCTCCCAGCCGAGTGGAGAAAAAGAAGGTCACCCCTGCAAGGGAGTGGAACTCTGAGGTCAGTGGAGAGGAAAGGTCCCAGTGATATTTTTAGGCCCCGGGAACCAGCTATAAATTGAGCCAATTTCATCCCAGGCTTTGGTGTAACATGAATCGGTAGTTGATCATTAACAAACTTAAGCTCCTTTGAATCAGCTGCTGTTACTTGCAACTGATAAATCGTAATGAATGTAACAGCTGAGGCTTGTGTCTGTTTGAAGGGACGATTGTTGCTTGTTTTTTGATGCAGTCAGCTGGAGGGAACTATGGGGAGACAGGATCCCATACTTCTACCTGCCCAGATTTTTTTTGGCAAACCTGGAGAGGCCATTGGAAATCCTATCAAAACGACACGAAGGGTCTAAATACACACACGTGTGCGCGCACACACAAATTTAAAAAGAGCAGGATGGAAATACCAACCACTAATAGACAAAGTAAAATTTAAGCCTCGGGATTAAATTGGTTTAAAGACAATCATTTTATATTTCACAAAGGATTCAGAATCAGGTTTAAACTAATGTTTATTGCATGGCTACTATTGCCCGGCATTGTGCTTGGTGGTGTACGTATACCCTTTAATTGGCAAAGACATAACAGTGCTGTACCTCATATGCATCAAATTACAGAGTGACTGAATACATAAAGCAAAGTTTATACAAAATATATTGACAAACATAGTCATACTAACAGATTTTCACATAACTTTATTGGTTTTTGACAGATAAGGTGAGCCAAAATTAACACATGAACCTACGCAATATCATGGATAAGACTGAATTCATTAACAGACATGTAGAATTCTGAATTCTATAGACTGAAAATACACATTCGTCTTAAATGTCCGTGAAACATGTACAACACTGGACACGTTGTAGGCCACAGTAAGAGCTTTTAAAAAGCTTTTGAAAGCATATATATTAGAGGCCACATTCTTTGTTCACAGTGCAGTAAATCAGTAAAACTATTTTTAAATAAACCTGATCAGAGTTTCAAAGCACTCTTTATAAACACTACGATATAACATTTAGACAACAACAAACAGGAACACAAATTATCAAATTAAAATGTGGCCAAGGCTATAATCAGAAGTATATTTATTATTAAGTATACTATTTTGGCAAATAATTTTGTAAAAAAAGATTATAAATGAATTATTCAACATAAAAACAGACAAGGTATAGAAATAAAAAATGAGCCTAATACATATTAATGAAAAAATTACAAACTAGAGAAATATGGATATACATGAATTCTAATGCTGGTTCTTTGGAAAAGCAATAGTAAACTGGATAAAACTTTGACAAAACTAATGGGTAAACCCACAAGCAGAAGTTGAAAGGAAGAAAGGAGATAGAACAAAATAAGATTTTCATTTAATTATAGAATGGTATTCATAATCTGAAAAGTTCAATGAAATGGAGAATTTTCTAAGCATAAAAAACACTATAAGTCATCAAAATTAATGAAATATAATAAACTGTAACATGAGAAGAAACTGAGAAAGCCGCCCAAGAATTCAGCT